GCATTGTTGCACACGTAAAAAAAAATCCCCTGGCAGTAAAGTAAAGTAAGTAAAGATCCCTCTCCACGCCTTTGGCGTATCAGGCATATGGGAAAAGCGCCCATATTTTTACAGACCATCAACACTCGGTGGGTAAGGTGGTCAGCATTACGCCGGCTGTCTTTACTTCCCCAGGACAGCCATCCTGGTACCCATTTTAGGCTGGGTCGACCTGCGACGCTCCATACCATGATAAAATTCCACGCAGCCAGCAGTGGGATACGATCGCGGTATGCTGGATTACAAGTCGGACTCAAAACGCCTAAGTCACGGACCCCTAGCGGTAGAGAATCGAAAAAGAGTAGCCTAACTGCGCTGCCCGGGCAAAATGTGACGTTAAAAATCTAGTTAGTATTTTAGGATCATCGCCGGTTTAACGGAGGTTGTGCACTGCGGTGAGATTCTTGAGACTCAGGCTGGAGTTAGAAGTAGGCGGAGCACTTATGGATTACACCCGTGTACCATGATGTTGATTCGTTAAATAAACATAAACAAACATAAACATTGAACACGTTATTATTATTAAACATGTAAACAGAGCTAGAACCCGTCAGGCCTTCTAGATAATCTTAATGTTTGTTTTTGAGGCTGTGCCTCTGCGTGTGTGACGTTTATGAAACTTCCCAGTTATCTCAAACGTCCACCCAGTCATTCTATGGATTAGTTTGACGTTAGTCTCCCCAAATAGAATAGGTCCCTTTACATTCACAAGTTTTTTAGGCTGGTGGACTTTCCTAAAGGTAACGGGTGTGTCCCACTCTGTTTTTGGTTTCTGCGATGTCTTGTATTTACGTTTTCATTCAGAGAAAGAGAAATCCTGAGACATAGGTCACGGGGCTCAGGAACTACCAATCGTAAGTGATCTAGTGTGTACATGGGCGGGGTCTAGAGAGACTAACATCGAACTAACCATTCTATGTTAACTTGTCCACACCTACAGGAATTCCACGACAACTTATTCCCGCCAAACGTGACGGTCCTACTGACCACATGTGCCCCCCGAGACGAGTCCGAGGCTCGCAAATACGAGATATTCCTAGTGGTAGCCTTCTTCGCTGTGCCCATTGCCATCATGGGCTACAACTACACGGCCATTGCTGTCTGCCTGTGGTCAAGCTCCAGTTCTACCAAGCAACTGACAGGTAGTGTGTGACGTCATTTGTTGCTATATCAAATATATATATATATATATATATATATATATATATCAGTCTGCTGTGTGACGTTAGTATCTGTCTCTCAGTTTGCTATATGACGTATGTATCTGACTCTCAGTCTGCTATGTTACGTATGTATCTGACTCTCAGTCTGCTATGTTACGTATGTATCTGTCTCTCAGTCTGCTATGTTACGTATGTATCTCTTTCTCAGTCTGCTATATTACGTATGTATCTGTCTCTCTCTCAGTCTGCTTTGTTACGTATGTATCTCTTTCTCAGTCTGCTATGTTACGTATGTATCTGACTCTCAGTCTGCTATGTTACGTATGTATCTGTCTCTCAGTCTGCTATGTTACGTATGTATCTCTTTCTCAGTCTGCTATGTTACGTATGTATCTGTCTCTCTCTCAGTCTGCTTTGTTACGTATGTATCTCTTTCTCAGTCTGCTATGTTACGTATGTATCTGTATCTCAGTCTGCTATGTTACGTATGTATCTGACTCTCAGTCTGCTTTGTTAAGTATGTATCTCTTTCTCAGTCTGCTATGTTACGTATGTATCTGTCTCTCAGTCTGCTATGTTACGTATGTATCTGTCTCTCAGTCTGCTATGTTACGTATGTATCTGTCTCTCAGTCTGCTATGTTACGTATGTATCTGTCTCTCAGTCTGCTATGTTACGTATGTATCTGTCTCTCAGTCTGCTATGTTACGTATGTATCTGTCTCTCAGTCTGCTATGTTACGTATGTATCTGTCTCTCAGTCTGCTATGTTAAGTGTGTATATCTCTCTCAGTCTGCTATGTTAAGCGTGTTTCTGTCTCTCAGTCTGCTATGTTAAGTGTGTATCTGTCTCTCAGTCTGCTATGTCACGTGTGTATCTGTCTCTCACTTTGTTATACTACTTTTTTAAATATGGGTATCATTATGAATTTAGTTTTTTATACCTCCCCCTCCCCCTTCTCCCTTAATTTTGACTCCGTATGCTAATTCATTTCTTTCTTATTTTTATTCGTCTCCTATATCATGTTTTATATATTTAATTTAGTCTGACACTTTTGCTTAAATATATTATTCTGTTTGCTCAATAATGTTTTCTTTTAACCAGTTGACCCAGTCTGCTTATTATTTTTTTTTTATTTATTTAATTCGGTCTGCGATATCATTTTTTTTTCCATATACACCAGGGAAGATAGAAGGGGGGTGGTGGTGGAGGGGGTAATAAGTAAGTCACAAATGGTTGTTTCTAAATAAAACAAACAAAAAATGTGAAAATCGTTTTTTTTTTACACCTTCACTGTCCCTTTATTTTTTCCAACGTAATTTCCACCAAAATTGATGCACTTGTCCCATTGTTTCATCTTTCCTCTCAAGCCTGATGCATAGGACTGCGTGCTGTGGTTTCTAAACCACATTTTCGCTTCATATTCAATTTCTGCATCATTCGCGAAATGTCTCCTGCAAAGGTGGGTTTTCAGTGGACAAAAATTGCAATCGATCATTCATTATGTTGTATGCTAAACCATGGGAGCACCCTATTGCAGCTGCTACAGATTCAACGTTACTCATCTGTCACCTTTTATTTATATCCTCCACCTGCTGTACGGATGCGTCTATTGCAATCTCACCAGGAAGACCAGATCGGACTTCATGAACAATTTTAGAGCGTCCTTCAGAAATTTTGTACTTTACCCACCCATGCACCGCTTTACGGAATAAACTTTTGTCAGCATAAACAGGAAGCATTTCGAAATAAATGTCCGTTGCAGGCAGCCCTTTTGTCAACCTCAACACCCCCCCCCCCCAACCCCTTCCCTCTTTTCCCAAAAAAGCTCAGAGCAACACGTTGTTCTTTAAGGGTACATTCGGTAAGTACAGTCTCCATTTTGTTTGTGTGTTGCAAATGCGCATGCAACACCTAGCGCCACCTAACGAACGGACACATAAAGTTCTATATTGCTGTCACCTAATGACACTTTTCGAAACCACCAGCTATATTTTCCTGCCAGCCCATAACCGTTTGTGACTTACTTAGTGATTTTCCCTAGTATATTACTTAGACTGTTATGTATGCGTGTGTGTGTGTGTGTGTGAGTGTGTGTGTATGTGTGTGTGTGTAACGTTTAGTCTGCGGTAGAATTTTTTTTATATCCCAGACTGCTATATCCTTTTTTTACGTTTAGTCTGCTACATAATTGTTGTTATATATATCACTCAGACAGTTGTATAATATTTTTTTTACATTTAGTCTGCTATATCAGTTTGTTAAACATATCATTTATACTGCTTGTAATTTTTTTACGTTTAATCTGCTATATTATTTTATATCACTCAGATTGCTATATCATTGTTTAACCTCTAGTCTGTTGTATCATTTTTTATATCACTCAGATTGCGATATCATTGTTTAACCTCTAGTCTGCTGTATCATTTTTATATCACCCAGATTGCTATATCATTTTTAACCTCTAGTCTGCTGTATCATTTTTATATCACCCAGATTGCTATATCATTTTTTTAACTTCTAGTCTGCTGTATCATTTTTAAATCACCCAGATTGCTATATCATTTTATTAACTTCTAGTCTGCTGTATCATTTTTAAATCACCCAGATTGCTGTATCATTTTTTAACTTATAGTCTGCTGTATCATTTTTTATATCACCCAGATTGCTATATCACTGTTTAACCTCTAGTCTGCTGTATCATTTTTTATATGACTCATATTGTTATATCATTTTGTTGTGGTTAGTCTGCTATTTCAGTTCAGTATTTAGCTCTCAGTCTCTCATGTCAGTTTTGTAGATCAATCTGAAAGCACATCTTCTTCTTCTTCCCAAAGTCCATGCCGTGTAGCGTTGGCTGTCATGTCTGTCCACAACCTTCTGTCTCGTGTACTTTCAGTCAACTCTGACACAGATGATCCTCCATGCAATGATGTCAAACTGTCCAGCATCTGTTCCCTCGGTCTCCCTCTGCCTCTCCTCCAACTTTCCTAACGCCACGAAGTACTCCAGTTTTCTCTTTCTCATCACGTGACCAAAGTATGTAGATTGTCTCTTTCTGATGTGGCCAATCAGTTCTCTTTGTGAGTCATTTCTTTCAAGACATCCTTTTTAATCTTTTTATCTGTCCAGGATATTCTCATCATTCGTCTGTAAAAGCCACATCTCTGCAGCTTCCAGCTGTTTTCACTAATTTACCACATCACATAACAGTTTTTGTTTAACCTCTAATCTGTTATATCATTTTTTATGTATTTAACTCTCAGATTTATATTATATATATATATATATATATATATATATATATATATATATATATATATATATATATATATATATTTTAATTCCCTGTGCGTGCTACAACCTGTCATTGAGGAAAAACGAATAGACGTACTGCTCGATAACAAGCTTAAAATAAAAAATATAACTAAAAAAAGAAGATATCGCAGCCTAGCTGTAAACCACAATACAACGTACCTGCCTTTAAGGCAGACACCGGAAATTGATTGGTATGCATATTTCTGTCTGCTTCTTCACTTTTTGATCCCAATCGACTGCATAATTCTTGAACTGAAATCACATTCCACATTATATATATATATATTTTAAAGTCTTTTCCCTATACCTAATAACATTTATGTTACATCTCTTTGCTATGTATAGTTTTTGTATGTAGATAACACTCTGAAAAGCGGCAAAATCAAAATCTTGAGCAGACTGTAGAGAACAAATAGCGAAACAATGCACGATGTCTCAAGAAAGTTTTACAGACGTTGTCAAATCAGTGAGACTGAGAGAAGCAAAGCTTAACCCCTCTGCTCTTGTTACCAGCAAGAGAAAGAAACCATTCATCAGAAGGCAATATACTAAAAACATATGGAAAGACTATTTCAGTTAACTGTTAAACTGTGGAACACCGGATGCAGTACCATGTTAAATAACATTTGTAAAAGACCATGAACCAAAGATATTGAAATATGAAGTTGAAAATCCCTTACACAAAGTAAAAAGAACACGGTGAAAACGTAAATGCTCCTTGCTTGTAAGACAACAGTTTGGGAGGCAGGGGAGGTCCTAAGTGACTGACAGAGAGCAATCATTGTCTCCTATTTAGAAAAAAAAAGTAGGGGGGGGGGGGAGGTTGTAGTAGTAGTAGTAGTACGGTTCATCCCACTAGGACATCACACAAGCGATAAACACCCGATGACACAAAGTGCCACCATGTAGATTATGATTACCCGTGGAGAGGTCGCGGAACCGCGTTCTGCGATTAGACCATATTTATGACCGGGTTTTATTACGGCCCCTGGCAAGATCCAGAGTAGGGCTTCAAATAACGAAAAATTGCATCCCACAACGGGATGATATACAGGGTCAAATTGGAAAGATATTTGCAACAACAACAAAAAATACTGGAATTCATAGCTTGACCAGTACTAGAGCCCCAGTTGAGTAGGAGATAGTTCAGATTCAGGTGTGGAAGGAGCTGTACAGATGCAATGTGTTCTTTGAGGAAGATGTGTTAGCAGTCTATTGAAAATGATAGAAGTCCACACCTTATGTTCATAGATCAAGAGAAGGCGTTTGATCGAATCAATAAATGCAAACTATGGAGAATTGTAGAAGTGTGTGGTATTCAAGATCATCTGTTGAATAACATGAAGGCTTTTTATCAAGATTGTGCACAGTAAGAACAACTAAAGAAATGAGAGGTTGGCTCCCCGCCTCACCAGGTGTCAGCCAGGGATGTTTCCGTTCACCATTGAGAATCATTAATTACATGAATGCAAATACAGACACTGAAGAAATCAGTCAACTTTCTTTTGCAGCCAATCAGTGTCTAATTCACCACCACGAACAGAATTTACACCAATAAATCGATTCCTTACACTAAACCTGCACAAAGTAAGATATGAGAATAAACACCGCGAAAACTGAGGTAATAGGAATAGGCAGGTAACTTGAGAACACAAACCTCC